GGTTAGGGTTTTTGGGGGTGTGGCCTGGTTGGTTGGAGGAAAATTGGATTTTGGGATGGAGGTCGGTTAGCTCCGGTTACTCGGGTAACTGCGGTTAACTCCCTCCGGTTACTCGGCTAACCGCAGTCAATCCCTCCCCCTCCGAACACCGACCGACCCTTATTTCCCATCGGTTTTTGGTTAGCCGCTAACCGACGATTTTGGTTGAACCGACCGGTTAGTCGCTAATCGACAACCAAACTGCCACCCCTACCTACAACCCTCCTTGATATCAATTAAAAAAAAGTAGGGGTGGAGAATCAGTTACCGATTATCAGTTAATCGGTTGGTTAAACCGATAAACGACCGGTTATCCACTAGCCAGTAACCGATATAACCAAAAATTGATCGGTTGTCGAATGGTGGACGAGATGGTTTTGGTCTTGGAGGCGGCACGGTGACCCGATAACTGAGATAACCAAAGCCTATTTCGATCGTTTGTCAATTGGGGAGGTCGGTCTTTCAGTTAATCGATAACCGACCGATCGACTACCGGTTATAATCAAAAGTAACCCACCGCCACCCAAAAAAAAGTGACCAATATACTAGTGAAATAAGAATTAAGTGATTATAACTAAGAAATATGGGGGGAGAAGGGCTCTTAGGGTTAAGTAGAGAGGGGGGTCATGTTTTAGGCTTGGCGATGCGAGTGGTAGTTCTGTGTAGGGTTTGGGATTGGTTTTCTATCCACTCCCTTGATTAAAAATCAAATTGGATTGTTTGTAATCCTATTACGGTTACAATATGGTCGGTTTATAAGGTTGGTTTTTGGTTTAACCGCAAAACAGAGACTAATTTACCAGTCATACTAGCAATAGTAGGATGAGGACATTCGTCACATTATAGATTCGCGTTCGAGCTAGCAACCATATAAATACTAATCGGAAAGTTTTGTATGCAAATAAATAGCCTTAAAATGTGAACTTACCGTATAATAGATATTAATCTCCAATCTTCATTTTTTTCTTTATTTAATATGTCTCTTATAAACTAAATGGTCTCAGTAACTCGAGTTATTGGGAGAAAGTTATTATGAATCTTATACCACTATCTTACGCGCCCCAAAAGCCAACTCACGGATTTAAAATTTGTACAGATCCACCATACATTGTATTTTGATAAACTATTAATATTGAGGGTCATGAATATTCAAACATACAATCACTTGATCAAATCAGTTTCAATATCATGTCATAAACCAACTAATCTCAATAATGAGCATAAAATTATTAAAAATAAATTAGGAATGTTATTGAAAACAAAAAACAAAAAGAGAGAAATTAACCGCATGGGTGTGGCCGCACTTGTGGGTTCTCATCCACAGTGATAAACTAAACTAGTGCAAAAGCTTTCGTTTGTTTTTGTGGTTTGGATTGATTCATCAAATTAAGTAGAGTAAAATTCCATTTCTATTAATTATATTTGTTAATTCAGGCGGTCGTCTTTATGTTCCAATCCGGTGAATGTGCATGGGAATATGGACATGTAAATTTCCTCGATGCATGGGAGGAAGAGACGACGCTGCTTTTACGTTTTAAATAATGTCATTTGCACGTGCAACTACAGTTTCCTCTCCACTTTCTTTGCTACTTTCAACGTCAAGACTCTTTTCTTAATGTAACTTCTCTACATAAAGGACAAACAAGACGTAACGGAACAAAATAAATACACTTTCTAATATATATTATCGTGAAGCTTGAATGTATTGATGTTTACAAGTTGAATTTGTACATTAAAAGTTGAAGTTTAGTTTGCACAATATAAAATTTTATATAAAAAAATGTATATATACAATTGAATTTGAATTTGTACTATAATGTTAAAAGTATATGTATTTTCGTTGACTCATATGCTTTATTTATCCAAGTTTATTATGTATCATACAAGATTTTGCACTATAATGTTAAAGTACATATTCCGTTTATACCTACCACCAAAAAATTTCATTAAAAATTTATTAATAAAAACTGAATTTGTACCTGAATTGTAAGATCGTTAAAAATACAGATTATGTTTGTACTGTACATTTTTTTTAAGAAAAAAAAAACCTAGTACTATCAGTTATGGTAATATATATTCCCCAGGGTTCCATACATATATCCTTGTCAAACAAACAAAAAGTGAAGAGACCGCTATGTAGAAGGAAAGGGTACCCAAAGAATCTCACCCACAAGCCCAACTCCCCCATGCTCAACCCACTTACATATCACTAATGGGTCTACAGTCTAGGCACATCAGCCCAAACCCGCAGAGCCCTAAATGTTAGAAAAGCAACTCCTGACTGAACCGATAATCCCAGGCCCAGCTCACTGGTTTACCCCCAAATCGTACCCATAGGACATAGTTACACTTTTTGGAGTGAAGTTGGCATATATATATATATATATGGTTTATGCTAGCGTACGCCTGGGCGTACGTTAGACTACCGTACGCCCGTTTGAGTTTTGCCATTTAGATCATGAATTAACCGGAGTTTTGGGCATGATACTATACCCTAACCACTAATGGATAAACCCCAGTCCCTAGTTTTCTAACCCAAATCATGAGATTCGTTTAATCTTGAAATGAAAATCAACAATAATTTCGACAAATCAGAACCGTTGATTTTCATTTCAAGATTAAATGAATATTATGCTTTGGGTTAGTGAATTGCGGACTAGGGTTTACCCATTTGCGTATAATATCATGCCCCGAACTCTGGTTAATTCATTGTCTAAATAGCAAAACTCAACGGGCGTACGGTAAGCTAGGGTACGTCCATGCGTACGCTAGCCTTTGCCATATATATATATATATACACACACAAGTAGGGGGAAAATCGGTACGGTATTGGTACATCAATGCTAAATACCGAAATACCGAATTACATTCTAAATTCAATCCTAATTCCAATCCCAAAATAATTTCGGTATCCCATTCTCAATCCCTAAATATTTTGGTATCTCAATCAGTACTTTGGTATCTCAATCGATATTATCGAATAAGAAATTAATTAGATTTGATTGTTTAATACAGGACAAAGAGACTAAGCAAAGAGTCTTGAGTTTGGCTAGAGCTAGGATATGGATAAGGAGAATAGAGAAGAGGGGACATCTCGAGTTTTTATCAATGGTAATCTTTAATTTGATGAATTGGAGGTTAAGAGAAGACTAATACTAGTGCTTTTTTTTTAGGGTCGTGTAGTATTGAATGAGAGAGTTTAGTTGAGAGCATAAAATACACATTAGCTTATATTTCGGTATTGTTCGGTATTTCGATATCTGCCGATCACAATCCCGTAATCCCTAATACCGAATAACAAATGAAATTGAATCCCAATCCCAAAGAATAATATGTGTATTCGATAATACCAAATATAGAGAAATTCGGTACAATATTCGATATATCCCAAATACCGGTATCAAACTTCCAGCCCTATATACAAAGGTTAACAGTAACTAGCACCGGGGCGGCCTTGCCCGGGAGAGTTTGATTATTATATATTTTGATGTGCTGTTGTCATTTATAATATGTAATTTTTGATATAGATAAAAAAGAATATAGAAATGAATAACAAATATAAACAACTAATAGCGAAATTTAGAAAGTAAATAGTGTCTATTTATTTTGCATCTCATGTAGGACAACATGAGAGTTTTTCCATTACACACAAAATCAATCTTAATCATAAAAAAATGATTGTACATTCATGTAGTTTAATCAAATATTTTTTTCTCAATAGTTACCATCTTTATTCATCACGGTACGTTATAGATATGAAATTATATCCCATGAAAGATTATATAGGGCACATTAGAGTTTGATCAACAATCTATAAAATATATAAAGGAAAAACATGGGTTGGAATTGTCTCATTTCAAATTTTGTGGCGTGAGAGTGATTCTAGGAAGGTCATTTTTGTCATTGCACCCAATTGATCTTTAAATATTATAAGAAAGAGCTTTATAACCAACTAAGCTATATTGTATTTATTGTTACTTCTTTTATTAAACTCTAGGAATATGTTTGGTAATGATGCTTCTATATTTATATTTGGTCTAATATCACTGGAAATACCATCCTTTAGCGAAAGTGTCATTTGTATTTCGTAACTATTGATATGACAATTGTATACCATCTGTTAAGTTTTCCGTTAGTAATTAACAGAAAACACAGTCAGCAATGACATAGCAAAACACAGTCATCAATGACATAGCAACAGATGTGGAAAATTTTAATAAAATTAATTATAAAAAGCAAAACAAAAATAAAGAAAATCAAAAGCAAAAAAAGGAAAAGTAAAAGTAAAAAAAAGTATTTCTTCCATCTTCCCTACTTCTCTCGATCTCTCCCCTCCGCCAGAGTCCCTTCTTCTATCTCCCCTAACTTCCCCACACCTTCTGCCACCACCATCACCACATCCTCACAGCAGCTCCCAATTGTCTCCCTGTCCGTCAAACAAGAAATAGAAACAAGCCCTCCCTCTTCCCCGTGACAATTTGCCGAATGAAAAATATTCAGTCCCTATTGGCTACAAGGGGTTTCCAATCCGCCGCCGCCGATCGAAGATAAGAAGAGAGGAAGAAGAAATAGCATCATTGGGACAGAGTAAATGGCGATAGCAGAGGGGATGGGGATTCAACATTGTCCTGACCAGTAATATAAATGGCACTTTCGCTAAAGGATGGCATTTCCAGTGGTATTAGCCATTTATATTTTATCTAAAGTTATTTGTATTTTATAAAAAGAGATTAGTTCTAAAATCAAAACACAAGTAACATCGATTCAAACATTAATATTAAATTGTATGTGTAGTTTAGTCTAGACAAAATACAGAATTGAACCAAAACATGATGAATCTTTGTGACGACATTTTTTGTGACAAATCTACAAATAGTATAATGATAGAATTTGAAAATGAGAGTCTCATTTCAAATTTCGTGGTCTGAGAGGGATTCTAGGAAGCTCTTTTTCGTCATAGCGCCCAACTTATTTATATATTATGTGTAGATTTCTCACAAAACCTCCTTGAAGTTGAGGTTCTCGTCGATGAGATGGAGTCTCAAGTCACAAGCATGTGGTATGACAGGTGATGGAAGCTCGTGCACTTGATGCAGATAATGTCTCCACCCTCGAGACCTCTTCTTCTCTTTTCTCATCTCATTGCCCCAAACTAGATATGACAGCATCAATAGACCACCCTCGCGTCCACCAAGAGGACCGATGTCGATGTGGCCTTGGTCTGGCAAAGAGACACTGCAAATGGGTCCTTGCTAAGCAGTTCCTCGAAGTTTGGTGGGGATATTACTTGCAACTCATGGCCGGTGCAAGCCTCTTCCACCTCAACTTCGTCCTCAGCCTGTACGCCAATTGCTTCAACCTCCCTTTCTTCTTCATGTGGTATCACCCCTGGGAAATTATCAAGAACTCCTCCCGCTTCACTTTCGTAATCCTCCACAACTTCTTTCTGCACCCTTTCTTGCTCTTCTTCTTCTAGCACGGATTGGAGAGCAAGTTGCCAAGCAATTTCTTTCATGAGATCTTCTTGCATCTCCTCACTCATGCCCGCTTCTTCAAAGATCAGTTTGGGATGTGGGAAGGTGTGGTCGGCTACGACAGGACATTCCTGATCATGATCATCACGGGAGCTCTCCGTGACAACTTCAGTGTGCTCCACAATGTCCTTGTAGCCTTCTTCTTCCTCCTCCTCTTCTAGTATGGTGGAAGGAGGGTGATCTGGAGCAGGTTGTGCACAAGATCGCTCAAGATCATCGACGCTCTTCTTAAGGATCAAGAGGATCTCCTCTGTTTCACGATAGGCCTGGATACAATGATCCATCCTGGAGCATGATCTCTCACTATCTCGAGCAAACTGCTCCATGAGAAGCCTCAGTTCATAGTTTGGATCTGGCTGTGGAGTGTAGCATGGCTCTGCAGAATGGCCCATGAAGGCCGCCATGGGTAACTCCAGCTCCGATGGCCCTTCTGGTTGTGGGAGAAAGTCTTCTTGGTAATGAGATTGTTCTTGATATGCCCAGGGGTCTGATTGTTCTCCGTAGTAAGGGGGTTGGTACTGGAACCTGAATCCATAGTCTTCTCCATCTTGATTGCTCCAGGGAGTCTCGGGGTAATACCACTCGGATGGTGGTGGATACCCCCAATGGTTGGAGAAGCCATGCGGATCCATGATTCAGATTTGCACCAACAATAACAAAAACACCCAAGTGAAAAGCAAGGGTGGAAAAGAAAAGAAAAACACTAAAGTAACAAACTTCTGCCTTTCCTAATACTCTAGAAAGTCCCCGGCAACGGCACCAAAAACTTGACTCGCTACGACACAACACCTAACAATGGCCAAGTGTAACCAATAGAAGGGACTACAGTATAGTGGCTCAAGTAATAAATATCGAATCCACGGGTCTCTAGAGTTACTATTACTCAGCTTCAGTTCATTATTTAGCAAACCAAATTAATAAGGAAGAACTAAAACTACTCTAGCAAACTACAGTTAAAGTTAATCTAATTACAGGTTGGGAACTCACTTAGGTATGATTCCCCCTAGCCAGATTAATAATTGATGATTTCTAACTTGTTTCACTTTCATTCACAATCCGGAGAATCCTTGACTAGACCTTGAGGCTCGACTAAAGGAACAAGGCCCTCTTGAGTCAAATGCCTAGAGGGACGTATCCTTCTCTAGAACAACCGATCAAGGCGTTCTGAACTAGACTCCCTCTATCAAAAGAGGTTCTCAATCGATACAAAGCACTGAACCAACCCTCGACTAAAGCAATCGATCCACTACTATCAATCTATGGTGCTCTATTGACCTAATCAGGTATTCGCTCTCATAGGATCAAAGCAGAATCAATAATCTCGACTAAAGCAGAATTGAATCATGAAAACATGCATAGATTGAATATGAACTCAAGATTATCAAGTCAGAGTACTCATACAATCATCCAATCAAAAAAACATAGCTAGGGTTCCTCAAAACCTAAGTGAAGGGAAGTTACTCCATAGAGAAGAGAGAGACTGTAGTAAGAATCTTTAGATGATCAGTCTTCAAGTCCAGGCCTGTTCCTCGAGCTTCCAAGGCAAAGAAATCCTCCAGTTCCACTCTTAGAATGCCCTCAAATCGCCCTCTCTCTCTCTCTTTGGTTCGTCCCTTGGATGTTTGGGATCCAAAAACCCAGCTCTCCCTTTCCTTTGGCTTCAATCTGCCTAAAAAACCCGATTCTGGGCAAAACACGGTCGAGGACATGGTCGTGTTTCACTTTTGCCCGCCCGTGTTTTGCCCACATCAGCCCTCGTCTGCCAAAACACGGTTGTGCCTAAATATGGACACGGCCGTGTTTTTCTTTAGGCCAGCCCGTGTTTTTACTGCCGAACATGTTCCCCTATATTCAATGCTTCGTTTCTCCCTCGTCCGGACTCCGAATAAGTCGCCGTTTGATCCCAGATGCTCGTAGTCTCGTCTTCTTTCTTTTCATGACAAGATTTCATGATTCTTTATCCATAAAGTGAGGTATAAATCCATTCTTCTTCACATTTGTGAGAAACACATTCTTCAGCATTCTAGTGAGAGAAACAGAACCAAAGGGAAGAAGAAGGTCAGGGTTAGGATTCAAGGCAGATTTTGGGAAGATTTCCCCAAGGAAAGCTCAACTCAAGCGTCAAGAAGAGAGGAGGCATCCCCAAAGATGGTTTCCACCTTTTCCCCTTTTGTTCTTCCCACTTCTAGCATGGAGTAGACCTCCTTTCACTTGGGTGTAGTGAAACCCTAACTCTACCATGTAGTTTTCTTGTATGTGTTTTGGATGATTGTCATTGGGTATTGTTCAATTCAATGATTGAGGCATTATTCACCATGATTGTGCATGCTTGTGCTTAGCAACTTAGGGGTTGTGCATGTTTTGTGCTTAGCATCCTTAGGTTTCTGCATTTAGCTGCTTAGCAACCTAGGGATTGTGCATAATTGTGCTTAGCACCCCCTAAGTTTGTGCATTTAGGTGCTAGTAATCTAATTTTCCACCTTAGCCTAGTTTAGAGAGGAAAATCCCCCTTTCAAGGGAGACTCAATCGAGTTGGTTTTCCTTCCGCTTTTTAAGCCATATAAACTAGGTTGAGTTAGGGAAACCCTCAATATTGAGTTAAACAAGTCGATTAATCATGATTAAACCGTCCGACCTTAGAGTTAAGTGAGGGAGTAAGTCGATTACCGATTGTCTAAACCGAGAGGGTCGAATGACACGACCTTTCATCCTCACCTCGGTTTAGCAATTGAGACTGTGGTCTCCGACCACATACACTTTCCTCTGCGGTGCATGATTAACATGCCCAAGAAAATCGTTCCAATCCACATAGCTTGGTAGCGGTTAAGGGGAAGCGAAACCCGAGTGACTTTCCCACAAAAGAGTTTTCAAACCAATCACCTTTGCTTTCTTTTATTTCAATTAGAAAACCTTTTAAACCAAAGTTTAGTTGCTAGATAATGATTTCAACAACGGAAGTAGGGATAGACGGACCGGCCCGGGTCGATATCTAAATACTTGCCCTATACTGCACCCGATTAGAGTTCAAAAACTTGGGCTCTAATTGGGGTTTTATTGTGGTGTAGTTTCATGCGAGTCAACCACCAAACAATAGATCCACCATTCATTAATCCTCAATCTGTCAAACATACAATTAGTTTAATAAGTATTTAAAAAATAAAATGTGAAACTTCAATCTCTCACTCTTTCTCTACCACATTCAAACTGTGTCGGAACCTCCCATTTTGTACCTTTCTATTTTCTCACGTCGTCCGACACATTCGCTTCTTTCCAAAAATGAATTTTTGGTTACCCTATTTACACTTCCTTCATATACCATTTTCAGACAGGACGAATTTGCATTAGACGAAGCTGATATTGTTAATCACAGGGAATATATTCAATAATTATAGTCCTTGCTTCATATATGTCCGCCATCTTATTCTTCCGCTGCAATCGATGCCAAAGTTTGGAAGCTTCATTTATTAACAGTTGATATTCAGACTTTAGTGTTAATTGCTTCAGTAACGGTTCATTCATTGGCTGCTTTTCGTTCATATGAGATATATGGTTAACGATTTTGCTTATGTTGGCAACGTTTCAATTTGTAGATTATTAACAATACATCATTCCTTTGTTAACAGTATGATCCAATATCACAATTGTCTATTAATATTGTTTGTTCATATTATTGATGTTCATGATATCATTAAGAAATTATTTTATAAATGAACATTTATGTTGATTATGATAATTGTTAACATCACCCAAAATGGAATAGGTACTAACTCATATAATTAAAACTAATATCATTATTGTTAAAAATAACTCTATTGTTGTTAAAATACATGCCCGTTCGATAAATGGTTCTATGGTTTGAATTTTGTAGAGTTTTTTATGTCGGGTTTTGTATCGTAATCCAAATGATATTGAATTTTTATTTTAATACGCATTAGATTAATCTAAAGGCGTAGATTTAAATAAATTGTAACCAACGATTAGTACCATATATATCATGGAAGAAAAAATGATATTGGAATCTTCAAGATTGGGGATTTTATTAGAATAATGAGAACTTGATTTTTCATTCATGTGTAGCTTGGTTTGATAATTGGATTTATGGAAAACACACTATCTTTTTGTTGTTTTACAAGTGAAAATAGAGAAGATTGGACGTGGAGACGAATTATGAAGCTTCGGCCAACTATGCAGCTGTTTATGAGGAAGCAGGGTGATGAAGGCTTTTGGAATGAGAAATTGATGTCCAGCTACTCAGTTAGCGCAGTCTGTGATACGATACGGCTTGTGACGAGCAAACAACACTGGTCTACTCTTCTCTAGAGTAAATTCTACGTGTCGCATTAGAGTATCATAGCATAAATTGTGGCCATGGATGCAATCGTAACCAAGGTAAAGTTGATGCGGTGGGGTAAATTAAATGAAGATAGATTCATTTTATGTCATGCCAATAGTGAGACCTGGGATCATTTGTTTTTCGAATGTTGTTTCTCGAGGAGTATTGTTAGCAGAGTTGGTAATTTTTTCAGTAGAAGCTTTTGGGATCTTCGACTCTCATATGCAGGTGTGGTTGCAAAGCGAAACACGGCTATGGGGAGAATTATTGGACCTCTATGGTGCTCCTTGATTATCTTTGTCTGGCAAGAAAGTTTTGAAGGCTCCATAGAGAGGTCCCAAGAACAGCCAAGTTGGTGACAAAGTTATGGCTGCGAGATTTCTGCTTCTTTGTTTCCTCTTATCTAGGTTTAGAGGCTGGGAGAGTTTGCGTCCCTCCGGCAACATAACAATAAAATAAAATTAAAAAAACAAATTAAAAAGTGAAATAGAACACACCAAATTTAAATCTTAGCGGATCTCGCCTACACCTGTGCTGGTGTTCTACTTCTTCTTTCTATTTGAGATGACGAGTAATGGTGGAAGCGCTCTTGTGATGACTGAGGGGAAGCCGATGAAGCCATGGGCACAATTGTTTAGAATATCGGAGGAAAATCGGCTTAGCTATGAAAAGGGTGAAGTCGTTAATGGGGGATTGCAGATGCTAAAGGAGGTTTGAGATGCTGGAGCGACGAAGTGGAAACTCTGCCTCGTTGGTCAGTTTCTCCAATCTCCTCCGCTGTTGTTGATGGTTCGTCGCTGGGCGAATCGAATCTGGGTGCATGATGGCCCGGTTAGGGTATCACTGCTCTCTAATCAATTGTTCCTCATTCAGTTGCCATCCCAATCTACATATGACTGGATCCTGAAGAGCGGTCCATGAATCAGTGCGGAGGACATGGGGCTCTCCCGATCTGGCTCCATCTTACGAATATTCCATTGGAATATATTGATTAGCAGGGTTTAAGCCATATGGCGAGTTGGATTGGGGTGTCGCTTGGTGTGGATCATACTACTAGAAGAGGAGCTCGAATGGGGTTTGTTCGGGTACTGCTTGAGCTGAAGTCTGCGGGAGCTTTTCCAGATCATGTAATGATGTATCCAGATGAGGAACCTCCAATTCACGTTGGGGTAGAATACTGCCATTTACTAGAGGTCTGTACAAGGTGTATGCTATTCGGCCCTTGTGACTGTGGTGGCAAATCCATGAAGAGAGTCTGGAAGCGCAAAGAGGTAACTGAGTTGGTTAGAGTGGTTTCTGAGAATGTGGTTCAGGTTGATAAGGGCAAGGCGGTATTGAAGGATCAAGGGGATGATATAGTGTTGCCAATTGCAAGTTGTTCTTATACTCCTTCATTAGTGATTATTGGTACTAATGTGGTGGCTTATGAATCTCCTAAGTATCCCTTGGTAAGTATTAACCTGGAGAAGTCCTTTTAAGAGGTGGCTGTGGATGTTGCTTCGCCTGGTTTGCCATCGGATGTTGATTTTCAGTAGGTGATAAATGGGTTGAGGCCACGTTGCTGGTCACTTCTAGGTAGGCCCACTAGTGTTTTGCAAGCTTCGAATTCAGCATTTCAATTGCTGAGTGATTTGGGAGACATGGAAGAGGTTAGGATGCATGCAGCTCCAGTTAAGGGTGGAAAGAAGAAAGGGCGAAAGTCTTCTCCATGATGAAAATCCTATTCTGGAATATTAGGGGGTTC